ACACTAATGAAGAAGATAAAGCATATTCTTACAATTTTAGGTATTAAATTGATAAAGTTGTCACTTTAGAAAACTCAAATTTTAGGAAACATTTCCGATTTTTATTATTATCCTTTAATGATTTAGACGGTCATCTAAAATTGGATTAATTTGACTCAAATTAGGAACTTTATGAACACAATTGACAAAAAAACAAAAGTGACAAAGAACATGTACATAAAGGATATAAGTTTATTTCATCTTATTGTAAATTATAACTTTATTTTTCAATCATGTAACATTAACTTGCAGGGTGCCAGAGCTATGCTAATTGACAAAGATAAAAAGCCCAAGGTACGTACCAAAAAAAAAAAAAATAATTGCATGTTACCTTTAGCATTCCTATATTAGACTACTTGCTTTTGTTTCAACATTAACATTGGATCTTGAATTTGTAGAGAAATTTATAAAGGAAAAGAAAAAGAAAAAGAAATAAAAGCTATTTTTCTATTTTTTGCTTCATCCATAAATTTCTCCACAAATCTGAAATCCAAGCAAAGCCTATAATATATATATATATATATATAACCTAAGCAAAGAGGAAGAAGACTATTTTATCACGTGAAACTTGATATTATGGGCATGTTTGGTTTGCATTTGAGAGATGAGTTTTAGAAAAAAATTTCTAAAAAATTGTTTGGTTTGAGTTTTTCTCAAAAAAATTTCAAAATCACTTTCTCTCTCTCACACATCAATCAATCACTTTTTCTATCTCCTCTCTCCTTCTCAATCACTTTTTCTCTCACACACATCTACTCAAATTCTCCCAAAATATCAAATCATTCCAAACTCCCAAAAAAACAACTCTCCCAAAATATACAACCAAGCAAACCAAAAAAATTTCTAAACTCTCTCCCCAAATTTTTTTTCAAAAACAACTCTCCTAAAAACAAACCAAACAAGCCCTATATGTTTTGGGCTAGTAGTCCAACAGGCTATTTGGTAGTCATATTGACAGTTTCTGATCCACATCTCTACAGTTATTTAGAAAAACTGATATTCATTGTAGAATATAAGGATTGGAATCTTAGAATATAGACGATCATGTAGTATGTAAAGTACTTCAAAACAAATCTGTAATCAAATATGTAAGATAATACATGTATTAGTAAATTTGATAAAATCATTAATTACGATCATACGCCCCCTTAACTCAGTTGATTGGGATGTCAAATGTTCCTGACTGGTGGACATTCTTGTGATGACAGAGCATATTAGAGAAAACATTTGCTTTACATAAATTTTATTTGATGTATATTCTAGAAAAACAAAACAATGCGGAAATGTAGAAGCGGTTCAAGAAAAAAACTTACTCGTTTATCATTTTTCTTTTTACAGCGAACGTAAGAATGACTTATGTTCACTTCTTAATTTGTGCTGTAGTTTGTCACTTCAATCAAACGATGCCATGAATCCACAGCACAACAAAAGCTCTCAGCACACACTGAGAAAATGTCAGAATTTTCCCCTCAACTGAAGTTTGAACAAATAATTATCATTATTTAGGTTCTTTGGATTATAGAAGTAATTACAACAATGAAGAGGATTTGTCTACAATATGCCTAAAAAATATGAACTTGTACTACTTTGAACCGTGCTTGTAATTTGACTGTTACTATGACTTGTTTCTTCTTCTTCTTTTGTTTTTGTTTTTACAGTGGGAGCCTCCACAACTATGGCAAGTCAGTGAAGAAATGGTAGATCGGTTTTTTGCCGAAGCTGAGGATGATGATGAATGGGAAAATTTACATCTTCCTAATAGATCAGGCCTAAGTAATCCAATGAAACCAAAGCTCTAAGTTTTAAGGCAGCAAAAAGTGAAACAATCTATGAAGAACACTAGAGGGCAAACGAAATTCTAATTGGAATGCATGTGTACTCTTATTTTAATTATGCCTTTTGATATTTGTTGGGATTATGCCGAAACATTAATGTTTTCAGTTTGAAAAATGGGTAAGATATTTGCCCTTTCTAAATATTGCGAGTACATACACGAGGATCTTAAATCAGTAGATGAATATGATTTATACAAGGCATAGAAAGAGGTACAATGCATAGGATGTGACATGAAGCTACATACATCACTCTCTTTTAGATGAGTTATGCTTTTAGGAGTTTACTTATGCACTAGGTCTTAGTTTGTTGCTTATCGGAGACAACTAGCTTGGCACTACTGTAGCCTCTCTCAACCTCACAACGAAGAGAAACATCGATCAACACCCTACTTGCCCCAAACTTGGCAAAATAACATTTTACCATAGTGAAAAATGTATTTTTCAGAGATGTTTAGGGTTTTTGTTTCCCCAAATGGTTCAAGAATAATATTAAAGGAGGAGATCAAACGTCATAAGGTTAACTATCTTTTTTTCCCCTACATAAAAACTTATTTTTGCCACCTAATGCACGATCCCATTTTGAGTTTGCTTAAACAAAGCTTTAATAAAAAAACCTAAAAGTTTGCAATATATATTTTTGTAATAGTTCAAAAAATTTCATAAGATCAGGACTATATTTTAAAAATTTTAACTGTAAACATTTAGAATTTAAATAATTTCCTGGCTTGGCCAAATATTTTGGTTTTGCATTTTTTTTTTTTTTTTGCGGGTACAAATTTCAGCTTTGGACACTTGAAATTCGAATTGTATTAAATTGATATATGTATATATTTGGCCAACTGGAGGTATGGAAATTGATGTTGGAGAAAAAAATAATAATAATAGTATCCGCGATAAACAATGAAGCAGATCAATATGTTTAGGAATACCTCTCCAAATTATTTCTGACTTTCTGTTTGAATGCATTGTTAGCGATAAAATTATATGAGAATATTGAGACAACGTAATTTATAAGATTATCATTTGGTCGAAAGTGTATTTAGATAGAATGACAGAAAAATTTAGAAGCAGAACATCATATGGAGATAAACATGACTTTGACATGCAAAGAAAAGAAGATAGGATAAAGGTTCAAAATCAAGAACACCCACATTTGATCAAAATACATGGTCACTCCCTAACATTTTGAAGTTGTGTCAGCAAGATTTTTATATACACAGCCACTCCCTCGCGGACATTACTTTCCGTATTTTTATTATTATTATTATTATTTTTTAACATCAACCAAAATGATATTTGAGATTTCTACAATATTCTTTTTAAGATTATTAATCACGTACACTCCATGACAAGAAATACTTAATCACTTCGTTACATTTGACAAAAATATAGACACACTTTGATTTTACTTAATTTTTTAAAGACATTATTATTATTAATTATAATAAAGGAAATTGATCAACATTACTATCAATAATATCTTTCTTGCACTTAATATATTAAATTATGAATACAACATATTTATTATTCTTTATTTCATTTAATTTTTCTTTTTTACAAAAAATTAAAAATTTAAAGGGTATGATAATAATTTCATTATAAAATATTAATGATGATGGCCTTTTGATGTGCAACACCTCATCGATATATTATAACATATGTGGATGTATTTTTGTTAAATGTTAGGAATATTATTATATTTTTACTAAATGTTATTAAAAAGTAAATAATATTTTAATTATAAAATTTATTTTTTCTGTTTAGTTTGGAGTTTTTAAAAATATTTTTTCTAAATTTTTAATTTGTATTTTTTTGTGTCTTTAGTGATTTTTAAAAATATTTTAATAATTTATTATAGTTTTGATATACTTTAAAAGTATAAAATTTGTACAAAAATCTTTTTAAAAATGGATAAATTACACCAAAAAAAAATCAAAATTTGTTTAAAATATGAAATATTTAATTTCATACAAATGACACTTTTATTAATAAATCATTAAGTTAATTAATAATTTTTAATAATGTTGAAAATATATTTTAATAAATAATTTTTATAATTTTATTAAATATATATATTTTAAAATAGGATGTTTATAATTTTCTAAATCACGTGGGGTAATCCATATTATAAGCGAAGCTCAAGAGATAAATTTATAATTTACCCTCAAAAAATTTATTGAATATAACAAAATATAAAAGTTATTATGGAAAATTTACCCATAAGTCCTAGTTTTTGAAACGTTGAACCATTTAGTCCTAAAAGTTTTCTTATGCTCCATTTAGTCCCATTTTTACATCAACATGATGTGAATGATGTAAATGATCGGATGTTTCATTCTATAATTTCAAAATTTATTAAAATCTGATGAACATTAGATGTTTTTTATCCTATATTTTTAAACATTATTGAAATTTGATGAACATTAGATGTTTGAAATCCAATGTTTGTAACATGACTCTGATGTTATTAACATTGTATCTGATGTTATTAACATTGTAATGGGACCTTTCAGTCTATAAGAAGACTTTTAGGACTAAACAGTCCATAAGTTATTAATTTGGGATTTATTGGTGCATCCCCCAAGTATTATATACATATATATTATATTATGTGTATTTGGTGAATTTTTATTTTATTTTTTTCATGAATATTATACTTTTAAGTAGGTCTATATTAGGTATATTTAAAAGGTATTTGAAATGATCTAAATAAATATATTTTTGACTTTTTATGAAAAGATATGCAAAAAAATAAAGAAGTGATGTGATCTAAAAAAATAAAATGATAAAAAAAAATATACTAATATAAGAGACGTTAAATAGTGTCTTGAAAAATAAAAAAGTATGTATATTTTTTTTTAAATATACTTAAAAATAATAAAAACTAAAAAAAAAGCTTAATTTATAGAACCAAACAAGGAGTTTTTTAAAAAAAATATTCTTAAAAAAAAAACTATTTAGAGAATTGATCCACTTTTCAAACTATTTGAGAAAATAACCTGGTTTTTGAAAATGCAATTTCATGATGGCATGGACTGCCACTGTGGCAAATTGCAATTGTGTGTTGTAAATGCAATTTCATTGAAACCGTGAGATGAAAATGCAATTTCAATGAAGTATACATGAGTGTGAACTTTGAAAATCCAAATACAAGAAACGCTATTCAGAGAAACCATTTGAAAATCAAAATTGGAGAAACCCTCCTATTCCTCTCTTGATCTCGACTTGATTCCTTGCCATTTGGTTCGCTGGCGACTTTGACGTTGTGCAATAGCTCTTTCGCCGACGATTGAAGGTTTCTCTTCTCCATCTTATGCTCAGTCTGGCAGCGAACGACTTCAACTTCACAGTTCTCAGTCTCAGTCAGACGGTGAAGCTCGAGCTCTCAGGTAACTACTTTATTTTATAGTGTACTTTTGATATGGGTCTTGCTTTATTTACTGCTTTTTTCCTTGCTTTCACAGTTTTTTTGACTACTTCTGTAAACTAGTTCAATCCAAATTAGTTGTGATGAAAACTTCTATATTTCTCGTTTTCTCTTTATTATCATCATCCAAACAAAGCACTGTAAATAAACAGAGGCAAAAAACTGAAGAGAAAAGCACCAAAATACTACCAATAATTTGTCAAATAATATATGAGAGAGAAACTAAAATTTATTACTAAACTCATGAGTCAAACATCAAATAAACATAAAATTTTTTCAAAAAAATAAAAATAAAAAATATGCAACACATATATGTAGGAAACAAAAACAATTAGATTTGGGGATTTCCTCACCAGCCATGTTTTGAAAAATAGGAGATGAAGATGGGTTTCTATACAATAAGAACAAAGCAATACCCAAAAGAACACAGAGCAGATACCCAGTGCTGAATCTCCATAAATACATACTTTCAACAACCTAAACCAATGAACATATAGATAGTGAAATTGAAACAATATATATATATATATATATTCAATTGGAAATATGCAAAAACAAATATAAATAAATAAGGAACTAAGCTATAAAAGTCAACAATCTCTCTTTGAATGGAATGAAGTTTAAATTATCAATTGAATTGACAATTTTACCGGGGGTATGTAGACGCGCCCTTGGGCCTCACTACAGTTCAGGACTCAATGTCACGGTCCTGTATCAAATCTCGCAGAGTGCAATGCAAGACCAATGAAATCATCAAAGAGTCCAAATCTGGCAAATCATTTTTGAAAACAGATTTTTTTGAAAGAAGTGCTAAACATGGACTGCTTTGCCAGATACAGAGTCGCCACCTAAATATTTTATTTGGGGAAACCCTGACTCATTGCCTAAGGCCACGTGTTCGTCATCACCAAAGTTGCCTCGGCTCAGGAACTTGGGTACGATTGGGAAAGGTCACTTCGTGAGCACCCTCGCTCGCCCGATCAAAGATCAGCCTCTACTAACCATGATATTTAGTTTTGAAAACATTATGCGTTCCTATTCCGATTAATTAGCTAGAATTACTATGTGATGCGCACAGCATACAAGTATAGACTAGATCGCCTAATTTGGAACAAAGCATCGCATATCCGTTTGTTTGGAAATATTTGAAGTTTGCTACTGGATTTCAATGAATTATCCCAATTCAAGTAATCCAACCTTCACCCACAGGCATTCAGGCAGTTATATCAACTAAGTACAAAGCCACATGGTAAGCATGCTGTCATGTTAACATTCACATTCATGCGAGATGCTAAAGCACAAATACTTACATTGTAGTCCGAGCCAAAACAAAAAACTTGTTAGTAATCAAATGTATGATCCAAGTCCATGTTAGAATGGCTAATGCATCGCAGGCAAAATACAACTAGAATAGCCTCGGCTAATCTATGGATAGCATGTGAAATGCAACAGATAACATGTATTCAAATTGGAATTTAAATACTACGCAGTTAGTATGGTGCGCCGAGCCCGGTGCATGCAATACAGATGAATGATGCAAATATGCAAGCATAAGGTATGCTAATCGAAATATGCCCTAAATCTAACCATTGTAAGCGACTAAATAAAAGGGAGGAAGAAATGGGGTTGGAAGACATGTACACACACCCACACTTATTACAAATTGCGCCCTCACTCGGAGGGTCCGAATAAATAATACAAGCCACCTAATTAACTAACTCACAAGCTAATTAATTATTACAGAACCAAATTGAATAACTAGCTACAACTAATTATTACACAACTTAATTAATTAACAAATTAATTAACTACAAATAACAAATGCTAACTAACTAGTAAGCGGTAAAGAGAATTGCTCCAACTCTGTTTGAAAAAGGGAGGCACGCATGCTCGCTTCGGTTCTTCGCCTCGAAACGCATTCCGGTTGCTCTTTAGAGGCTCTGTTTGCAGGGTGTCTTCCAGTGCTTATTGCTGGACCTTACCAAAACACTGCAGGGGAAGTCACCAGTGGCCTGCCGGCCAAGAAAGGAGATCTGCCGGCCAAAGATGGTCCATTGCCGGCCAAGGGTGGCACACTGCCGGCCATCAGCGGCAGGCTGCCGGCTATTGGTGTGTTGTGACACCAAACTGCAACGAAGCACAAAATAGAGAAAAGATAGAGGGTCTCCCAAGGGTATGTATGCAGTATGGCACTCCAAATCACCTCAAAACATCAAGGGAGAGGCCTAGTCGGATCTACGACCATCAATCACGCATCCCGATGCATGATGGCCAAAGATCCAACTTGTGCAAATCAATATGAAAATGAATGCACAAATAAAGCAAGTAAAGCCTAGAACTCTATCATGAATCATCAAGAGCTTCGGCCACCGAGAATTGAGACACGTTCCATCACTTGAAGTACGAAACGCCCCTCGTTCCTCGTGCTCGGATTAACACTTAATCCAAGCAATGCAACACATAAGCATAACAAACATGCAACATGACCTAAATGTGCAAACATGCAACTAAACCAAGCATGCAACAAGCATATAAGCATGATGTGAGGTGATGACCTTGGACAACATGACAAAATGCAACATGAACATGTGAGCATGCAAGGTATGCAAAGCTTAAACAAGTATGCGACAACATACGAAATAAAACAAGCATGCGACAACATGGTAAGATGGGCTTACACCAAAGATGGACGGCTCTCAACTAGGTCCAAATCAGTAGCCAAAGCGATGAATTAAGCCAAACAACACACTCAAGCATGCGAAATGCGAAAGGTTCATCAAAGGGGCCTAAAAGGGCAACTCTCAAAAGTGCCTAAGAAGTGACAAATGTGCAAGTGTGACAACACTATATGCGCTAAAATGAGATGATAAATGATGCCAAATCATTTAAATAGCTCAAGGATAACATGCGCGAATCACCGAAACACGAAACTTGCAAGGCCAATTACACTACAGCTACACAAAGCATGAAGGATATGGCAAGGGTAACCCAAAACAGTCCTAGTACATGTTGATATTAGACTAAAACATGCAAGGAAGTAAGCCAAAGCAAGCTAGCATACAATGCTAAAATATAGGACATGCAAGGCTACAAAAGAGGCAATGCACTACAATTTTTGGTGTTATACCACATTTTCCACTATACCATGTTTGAAAAGAGAACTCATAAAACAGAGATATGATACCCTTTCTTTATTGGGAAAGGAAATAAAGAACTGATTTTTTGTTCATCAATATTGCATCCTTTCATATATTCAAATGACCATTATAAGATTTGCTACCAGTTGTGTTTCTGCTGAGTGGAAAAAATTCATCAAAAACAAAAGACTAGCCTAAGCATTTACACTATAGCTATACAAAGCATGAGTGCCTAAAACAGTCCTAGAACACTTCAAAATAAGCATAAAATCAAGTTTGAGCAAAGCCAAAATATGCTAGTATGATGAGTCAAAACATCATGCACAAAGGGCTAGTAAACATGATTTGTTCTACACCTATATGGAGCATGCAAAGGATGATTAAACCAACTATGGATAGGGTCATAACATGCCAAATGATGACCAAATACATGTTGAAATGTAAACCAAACAAGCTAAAATGACATGGCAAAGCATGGAGCATATGAAGCTAGTTTAGGGGATTTACACTACAAGTGCATCATGCAAGAATGGGGTAACAAAACCAACCCAAAAAAGGTTCATGGCATGGTAAAACATCACCAAAAATGGACTGAAATGGGCTCAACAAAAGCCAAGCACACATGCTACTTTGATGAGCTATGGATGGAGTTACACTACACATACTATATGCATGCAAAATGTGACCAAACCAGCCATGGAAAGGGCCAAGGAAGGTCCTAGAAGTCACAAAAATAGGCCTGAACCAAGCCTCAAAAATACATAGAGGGATGGTCCTTTGAAAGGCCAAAAATGCAAGCAAAGAGAAACACAAAGAGAGGGGACTACCTCCTCTGATTAAGGACCTCAAAACCACACCTCTATGACCAAAATCCCACTGGATTTCAGTGGTAGGAAGGCCAAACCAAGGCTAGCTCGGAGGCCTCAAGATATGGCTTAAAACAAAGCCAAACAAAGCATGCAAGGGGGCTACACGCCCCAAACAGCAAAATGACCTTAACCAAACTTAAAAAGCACTTAAAAAAAAGACTTTTTATAGTTATAAGAAAATCCTAAATCAATATGCAAAGAGGGCTAAAGCAAGGTGTAAAAAAGTACAAAAATTGGGGAAATGCTCACCCTTGAAGACCCTCTTCGAAACCAGCAACTTCAGGGGGTGGAAACCATTTTTCAGAGCTCAAGAATCCTTCCCAAGAAGCTTAATCCAATGGTGGTGGTGTATCTCTATGGGTTGTAGTGTAAAAGTGCAAGGAAATCCAACTTCAAAGCACAAAACACACACAATATAGAGAGAAAGAGAAGTTTTTCTCTTCAAAGTTGCAGGACCCTGTCTAAGGAAGAAGCCTCTTCCTTATATAGAGGAATGAAAAGCCAAAGCTTCTTCAAGAAGCTTTGCAAGGCCTTCATCCCTCCATACACGTGTATGGAGGGGAGCAAACAAAAAACCAGTTGGCTCAAAAGATCTGCAGGAAAACCAGCTGAAACAGGGGGGGTGCCGGCCATCATCAATGGCTAGCAGTGGCTCATTGATGGCCGGCAGGGCCTCATAAATGGCCGGCAGGAGCAAAGACATGGCCGGCAGTGCACCAAAAGGGTCACTCTGAAAGGACCAAGTCAGGGTCCAAAAATAAGGCAGAAAGGATACAGGGTCCGGAAAGCTCAAACCGGTGACGTTCCGCCGCGACAGTCGAATACTCGGTGAGCAGTCGAACTAGTTGTTGGGTGTACCTGCAAGCACAACCAAGTCCCGAGGACGGTCAAAAATGGGGTGTCTACAGGGTAAGATTAAGGGTTGGCTTCTTTTTTTTTTCTTCTCATTTTAACATTGGTAGATTAGCTGGGTGCAGGAACAAATTGAAAAAAATGAAACTTTAAATGATAAAAATCTAATCGTGACATGTGCTTTGAAGAATACATGATCATGGTAATTAAAATAAGAGTTAATTCAGAGAAAATGTGTGTGTGTGTGTGTGTGTGTGTGACAGAGAGAGAACTGCTTTCTCAAGTTGTCTTCTTCCTATATATCCTCTTCTCTTCACCTTCATGTTGTGACCCATGGGTACATTTTTTTAATTTCTTTTAATTTTAATTGGAAATTGATAATATCGAACCTAGATGCATACTTAGATTATGTGTATCTAAAAAATAAAAATAAAAATTTGATTAAAAGATTTTTTAAAAATCACGAAAAATAAAGTATTACTATATATCTTATGTGGGTTTGTCATACATATTAAGGTGCACTTTCTTAGTCATTGTGAAATTGTTTTTATCCACTGGTTTTGGGAGTTTGACATAATTCTAATTCCTATCTCTAAATTCGTCAATATCAGCGTATATTCATAACTTTTTTAGGTGGGGTGGACAGATACTAGTATGTGGCTAATTTTTGTTGGTATACAATTTACAGACCATTTGATTTGTTTGTATCTTGAGGTCGGTTTGATTGTGGTTCAATTGTGTTAGTTTTTGCATTTTCATTTTGATAGGTTTGATTGAAGTCTTTAAGTGTTTAAAAAATGGTTAATCATAAAAGGCTTAATTAGAATAAACATATGTGGAAGATATTTTTAGAAAAGAAGTATGATTTGGAATCAAATAAGATGGTCTTGCAAAGGTTACACCGTTGAACATGAGCATTAGATCTATTAAAGTGTTTTGAAAGCATTGTTTTTATGATTTTGGTGGAAGATAGTGTTATATTTTTTTTATTTCATGATTTTGGTTAAACATAGTGTTGTTATATATATATATATATATATATATATATTTGTGTGTTTATCTTAGATTCTGCTTATAGAATAACTTACTGCTTGGAATAAGTTGCAGCAGAGAAATGGAATTTAAGTACGAGAAAGATAAACACAGTACAACGATCCTAGATTTTTACCCAGCTTTTATGGTGTTCCAGACTCAGGTCTTGTGGTTTAATGTTATTATTTATGCCTTTTCCTCCTCTTACTCTTCAAATTTGAGTTTTGGAATGTCTTAGGTGTGTTTAGAACAGGTTGGTTGCTAGTTGGTTTAGAACCTTGTTGTCCAAAATTTTGATCTTCCGCTCGAGCAGGCCTTCTTGCGCTCGAATGGGTTTTGCAAACATTCAATACTTTGCACGTCTACAAAAAAAATACTGGAGAAGTATTTTTCAAACTCGAGCGGCATTTCTTACGCTCGAGCGGGTCTGCACTCGAGCGGATGTCTGTCGTTTGCAAAAGTTCTGGAAGTGTGTATTCTACGCTCGACCGGGTCTTATTGCGCTCGAGCAGGTGGTGCCTTGTTGTTATGTCTTGGCACTTAAGCGGCCTTTCTTGTGTTCAAGCATAACAAAAGTTTGTGTTTGACACTCGAGCGTCAAACTCTCCGCTCAAGCGGACTACGCATATATCAGATCGCGAAAATGACATTTTAAATCACTTTTTCATCATTTTCTCTCTCTAAAACTTTCCAAAAACCTAGATTGAGACTTTCTCTCTCTAAAATACTCTCTCTCTCTACATTTTAGCCTAGATCAAGTGATCTTTACACCCTTGTGCCTTCATTAAAAAGTTGAAGCATCTCAAGATCTATCTTTTGGACCGAATAGAGTGGGATTTCGACATCTTTGGGGTTTCTCTCTTGTTTGGCTCATCTTCTCTTCTTGAGGTAGGAATATTTTACACTTTAATATGGTTTTTAACCTAGGTATTTGTTGTTTTGTGTAAATGGTGGGATTTGGGAGGATTTGATTAAAGTTAAGGTTTGAATTCAAAATTGAAAGAGGGGTTTCCATGTTGTGTTTTACAAAATGGCTATGGGGTTTGTATATGAGATTCTCTAGTGTTAAAATGATGAAATTTCAGCCGTTGGGTTGATATTTGAAGAAAAAGGGAATTTTTCCCTAATTTAAGTTGGATAACCAAATTGTATAAATAATGAAATTGATGTGGGAAATGTGAAATTGGAAGGGTATGTGAATGAATGGTGTAATTGGATTTGTAAAATCACTCACCTATGGAAATTTGATAAATTATCTATTTAAAGATTGTATATCGGTTTAGAAATATCTGTATTAGGCTATCGGTGGAGGATAGCTTTGATTGTTGTAGAAATTGCATGTGGATTAGGTGAATTGAAACTATCCCATGGTTGATTATCATTGAATACGATCATACTGTAAATACATTGTATATGTATTTTATTTGGGAGTGGAAAGGAGATGTACTCCATGCGTGATTATGTGTTTATATACATTGCATATGTATGTTTAGTTGGGAGGAGAAAGGAGATAGATTCCATTATAATTAAGCTGGCCGGAGTGTCCTAGGTGAAAGTCCCGAAATCTATAAATGGGTGCCGATCCCGTGGATGAAATATCCATAAAATGGCAGTTTGGGAGTGTCAATGTTTTGATTGTGAAATCGTTGAACCATTGAGTTATAATCACATTTGGGTGATTGAAAATTAATGAAATTAACTCATGCATTGAAATGAATTGAGGGAAAATGAAATGGAGCATGGAATTGATGTTTGTGATTATATATATATATATATATGAGAATATGAATGTTTATCCCGGTCATTGGTATGCATAAATACTTATATCTTTGTTAAACCTCATATACTGTGTGAGATTATTCCTACTGGGCTGTGGCTCACCCTATTTGGGGAAAACATTTCAGGTAATGATGGCATGCCTCCACCAAGGCAATAGCATTGAAGGGTTATTTGGGAAACAAGTGGGCTTCTTGTTTTGTTAGCCTAGGGCTTTAATTGTTAGGGCTAGTTCCACTTTTGTCGTAGCCAAGTTAAGACTTGGAAATGTGTAAGCCCGAAGGGCATTCATTTATGTTAAACTCTCTTGTAATATTAACTTCATGTAATGAAAAAACTGTTTACTCTGATGTATGTTGCCTTCTTTATCTATGCTTATAGGTTATATTTATGGTTATATTTTGAGGGCGTTACACACAGACAAATAGTTTAGCCCTCTTGAATATGGACCAAGTCTGTAAAGATGATACATCAATAAAACCCTAGGTGAGCAGTGATTATAGGATCCAAATGAGCCTAGGGTGAAATGGAAGTGGAGGATTTGAGTTTGACATATTGTGAATGGGTTTATTATGCAACAATCTAGGTCAAACCAGCTAATAACATTAGTAATGATATTTTTTTTTTTCCAGCATGAAATCGCATGTTCAAAATTCAATTTCATGGTGAAATTGCATTTTGAATATGCCATTTCATATTCACTTGACTTACTGATACATAGATGTTGGCCATGTCAATATGAAATTATATGTTGAAGACATGATTTCACCATGAAATTGTATTTTTAAACTTGCAATTTTAAAAAGTGAGTTAGTTTGAGAAATAGTTTGAAAAGTTGGTTATTTACATAAATAGTTTAATTTTTTGGAATATTCACATAAAAAAAATTAAAAAACTCGCAGATTTGGACTTTTGAGATTGTGTGACATTTATTTTTTTACAGTTCACATAAAATGGAATTTTCAACTTTCAATAATGGAATTGACTATCTTTTCAAATTATTTCACTATTTAGAATCACATATCAATAATGCGATTTAAAATTGAAATTGCATCTTGAAGCTGCGATTTCAGTACAAAATTACATTAACCATGAAGGCATTTTAGTGATATTGGGTGATGCCTTGCACACACACACACCCCATTGTACTGTTTCATTCATGTTTTTTTATAATTGCCTGACTCATAGATATTTCATGATGCCAAGTATTACTAGGAAGGTTTTTTCTATATTAGCATCAAACATGCTTTGTAAATTAGTTACAATAGTTTAACCTTCTGATATAATGTTGTGTCTGATGTTTCCAATTTTGCTGCCAAGGTAATAAAAATATCGTCATCCATTAAATACAGAATTCTATGTCATAGAGGAAAAGAATTCATGAAAACAAATTTCATTGAATTGGACTTTGTATAATAGAATAGAATAGATAATAGGATACAAAATAATAAATAAAAATCTGAATTTACGGTTTGAAACCAATAATACAATTAAATAACAAAACATGATGAAAATTGGCCTTAATGGAACATAGACAAAACAACTCAAGATCAGTATAACCATCAGCTCATCCGCTTGCATCCCAATTGAGATACCTTGCTTTAACTTTTTTCTTTAAACTGTACTACAATGAAATTGTCCTTATATTATATGTGAGTACACAAAAAGTAGATTACAGATATAGTAATCTTCTATTTAAATTAGTTATCATAGTTTTTATTAACCTATTTGACTACAGTATCTTGTTGTGACCCATTAATAAAAGATACTATTCATTTTAATCAATTACAAGTTTATTGATTTATATTGTTCACATTTATTGTATGATAAATTTGAACACAATGTTGATGTTTACATGTTCGATATATTATTTGTAGGTTATTGTAGCGATGGACCCGAGTCCAGCTGATCCTACTGTGTTGACGTTACAACAGTCTTACAGATCCATTTTAGCATGGACTTTCTCGGTACATATATATGACACTTCCTTTGCTTTAAATTATTACATTATATGTCAAGTGAAATTGTATTAATTGTTATGTGATTTTTACACAGGATGATGTTGACTCCGTTATACTTACGTGTCGATATCGCGAGGCTACGATAGTACGTATGGGACGCCCTGATGCACGCATATTCCCATACTTGCAGAGAGCAGGATTTTGTAGACTCATCCATGTGCCGTTCATACAGTTAGGTTGGCATCTTATTGTTGTAATAGTAGAGAGGTGGCGATCGGAGACACACACATTTCACTTAACATCTGGGGAGGTAACCATCACATTGCAAGATGTCAATATCTTATCTGGACTTCGGGTTGATGGTAACGCTGTTTCAGGGAATACTGGTTATGATTGGCCTGTTATATGTAATCGTCTTCTAGGGACAGTTCCACCTACCAACCAACTCAAAGGCTCGAGGTTGAACATGACGTGGCTTTCCCAGACTTGTGGTAACTTACCCATTGATGTTGATGATGTCATAGTTCAGCGCTATGCTAGAGCATTCATTCTCCAACTTTTGGGTGGTAGCATTTTTGCAGGCAAATCTGGTAATATGGTGCAATTAATGTTTCTGCCTTTACTAGAGGACTTTGATGCTACTGGGGAATACAGCTAGGGAAGTGCAGCACTGGCTTGGTTGTATCGAGAGTATGTCGTGCATCTCGCGAACGTATGCATGACATTTCTGATTTTCTCATCCTTGTTCAAATTTGGGCGTGGTATAGATTTCCCCAACATTGCTCCGTGTCATCTTCTTAGACAACCAATAACGGACGGTCCGCTCATCACACGGTATTAACCATTTACATGTTATTATATTTTAGTTTACTATGATTATTTAGACATTATTATAGTATTGATTAATAATATACTCATTTGTTTAAAATCTTCAGTTGGCGGGATGCATTTAATGTTCGAGTGATAAGTGTTCCTTGGACAAACAGACCTTTGCACAAGTAAGTGTTCTGTTTATGTTTTACAATAGTAAACATGAGTTACTTATAGGGATGTAATAATGGCCCAACCCGGCCCAATCGGGCTTCGTGGGCTCCCGCCTTTTTAACGGGCCGGCCCATTGGCCAAAAAGTGGGGGTCAGGCCCAAGCCCAAGCCCAAGCCCAAGTCCACTCATAATCGGGCCTAGGGCCTGGACTGCGGGTCGGGCCTAGTCGGGCTTTTTTCTTTTTAATTAGGAATAAAAAAATAAAAATAATTATACTAGAGTATTTTAGCTAAGATTAATGAGATATTTTGTTTGGTTATGTAATGTTTCATGGTGATATTTAAATTTAATTATGCGTAATTTATATTTTTTTAATTATGAACTTATAACTAAAAAAGTATGCAATTATGTAACTTTTTTCTTTCGAAATGAATAATTTTATATATATGAGGATGAAACTTTCAATATTATAATATTAAATTATTTATATAACATTTATTGAATGAATAATTTTTATTTCAAAATGAAATAAAATAATACAAAAATTGATATTATTAAATAAATTAGGTGTAGATTACTGATGATGGTAGAACAATTGTATCACTATAGGTCAAGTACATTTCAACTAGGTTGACACCTACTAACCTACCAATCATTTGCATTATACTCTATCTCAATAATCTAATACCAAAAAAAAAAATGAAATGAAATAGTAAAAAACAAATTATTGATCAATTATCGGAGGAGAGAAACATTTCAATCGCGTTGCCCGAGGATGTGTCATCCAAATCATTTTGAATTCGCTCATTTTCACTATAATTTTGTCTTTTTGTAAACGCATGCATATGATCTCTAAATATCATCAGTGCCTTAACCATTTCAGGTGAAAAGCCTACGCCAGTAATCTCTTAACACCCGTCCACCTACACTAAAAGCTGTTTCTGAAGCAACTGTAGAAATATGAACGGTTAATATATCACGGGTCATCTGTGAAACCACATGCCACATAGTTTCATTTTGTATCCACCATTCTAAAATGTCAAAATCATTGGTGTGGCTGTTGATTTTTGACCACACAACCAAGCAGGGAATACTCAGCAGGAGAGCACCGGCAAAATAGATTAAGCCCCGAACAACCTGTCGCAAAAAGATAAGAGTCCGGCGGTGGTTCGTCCACCTGGGGGTACTCTGATGATCAAGTTAACAATTATATCTCAAAGATAAACAATAGTGCTTAACTCACTAGACAGAAAATAAAAAAAATATACCTTAGACCCACGAGGGTGCCTTACTTTTTATAGCCAGTACTAACCTGATCCATGTAGAAGTCTAGCTACAATGGATTTTGGCTTAATGCTCATCTTGGACTCCTAGCTAGATAGAGATAAACTCTCTAAGAGCTCTATCTTTATCCATTCTAAGGTCCTTCCCAGTTCTAGGGCTCTTATTTCTTATCCGCTCATCTCGAATTCTGGTATCTCCGTAGATAACCTCGGCCTAGCCGAGATCATCTCGGCAAAATGACCAAGACACGTGGCATCTCAGTTGACACTCCGGTGCCACCTTGGCCACGTGTTGTCATTCACAAAATATGCCCCCACAATTGCCCCCTAAGTTCTATTACCTCGGCATCCTGAGGCGATGGAACCTACATCATTTGTCCACATGGCACGTCGACTAAGACTTACTCTATCCTTCATGACAGAGGTTGTCACCCGTCAGTTTCATATGACCAAGACTCCGTAGTTTACTTTATCAATAACCAAGAATCAAGAACCAAGTTCTTTGAGTTCCTTAACCGAGATCACTTCTCTAGCCAAGGTTTTTGCTTTATTAACTCAAGAACTCCAAGAGTTCTATCTGTGCATGAGCTGTCACACACAGTTTTCTCAATTGTTTTCGCCACACGTCTTTCTCTCATTGATTCGTACCTGACACGCGCTATCAGGTCACGTCGCTTCTGCTCACGCCGCCTGACAGACATGTCGTCCAAGGCAGATCGTTATGGTTTGCCACCCTTTCGAATTTTTAACAAAAACAACTTCTCTCTCTCTGTCGTTTCACTTTGCATTCCTTCGTTTTTGCTTAAGTTTTCTCTCTGTAAAGCTTCCCTCCCAAATCCTCCATTGCCGTTCCTTTTAAGCTCTACTACTACCATATTTACCACCTCCGGCGCACTTTTCATCATCTGCTTTCGGTCATTCTCGTCATCTGGCTCCGGTGACCTTCATATCGACATTCATTTCACTCAGTAAGTTCACAATTTCTTCCCCCTTAAGTTCGGTCTCAGATTTATTTTGAACTCTATTGCATGTTTATACGTTGTGAATCTGTTTGTGTTCTTGAATCTTTACTTGTGCTTTGAATTTCATCATTTGGGTGTCAAACGTGCTTGTTCACGACTTAGTTTTTTTTCAATCTGTCTTTGGATCTGTACATACAAACTGTTCATACACTTGAGACTTTAGGAATTTTGTCATTGTTCTTAGTTTTTGCACATCTGCACACACTTACTCAGTGTTCTTGAATGAATGTTGCTTTCTTGACTCTGAATCTTGCCTTTTTTTGTTTTTCTTTAACTTGGTTCCAGATTCTTGCCATTGATTCTTGTTTCCATATAGATTTAGGCTTGGGATTTGATAAAGAAATCATATACTTAGGAAAACTGAACCAAAACCCCCCTTAGATTCGAAAAAAACCCTTGAAGTTGTCAAATTAAGGTTTAGCTGAGGTCCTTAAACCCAAACCAAACATTCCTTTCTGAAATTTTGCCCTAATCTCTATCAGCCGACATCATGGGTATGCTCAGATAGAGAGTAGACACCCCAGAAAAATAGAGTATTTAAGTGGAGAGTTTTCCATCCCAGCCGATGTTCACCTCAGGTTGGCTGGGGAGGAGGACTCCATCATGCCTGATGGGGATTTTATGCCCTTCCCAATAGTAGCCTTTATAGAGCATGGTCTTTAGTTTCCCCTTGACATTTTCTTCAGGGAGGTCCTGTACTACTATAAGCTCAACCCTATGCAGCTAGCCATCAACTCATATCGGGTTATCAATGGTATAATTGAACTAGCACACCGAGAAAAAGCTAGGATCACTTTAGCCGACATCCAATTTTGCCCCGAGATATAATATGGTGGGTGTTAGAGAAGAAATGGGTAACAAAAGGCTACATTGACGTGATTAGGGACATGTATGAAGGGGTGGTGACCACTATTAGATCGCCAGCTGGAGAGACAAATGAATTTCCTATCACTGTAGGGTTACACCAAGGATCTACCTTAAGTCCTTATCTTTTTGCTTTAGTTATGGACGAGTTGACGATAAATATTCAGGATGACGTGCCATGGTGTATGCTTTTTGCAGACGATATTGTGTTAGTGGATAAGACTAGAGAAGGAGTTAACACAAAGTTGGAGATTTGGAGAAAAACTCTTGAATCTAAAGGATTTCGGATAAGCAGAACTAAGACAGAGTACATGGAGTGTAAATTTAGTAACAATAACAATAAAAGCAGAGGAGAAGTGAAGATTGAGAACCAAGAATTGCCTAAGAGTAAACATTTTCATTATTTAGGGTTGATTATCACAACAGCGGGAGAGATTGATGCAGATGTGGCCCATAGGATTAAGACGGGATGGTGTAAGTGGAGAAGTGCGTCTGGGGTATTGTGCGATAAACGAATACCCACTAGACTAAAAAGTAAGTTTTATAAAATGGCTATTAGACCAGCTATGTTGTATGGGACGGTGTGTTGGGCAACCAAGAAACAACATGTGGATAAGATGAGTGTGGCTGAGATGAGGATGCTAAGGTGGATGTGTGGTAAGACTAGACAGGACAGGATTAGGAATGAGTGTATTCGAAAATGGGTAGGAGTAGCACCGATAGAAGATAAGTTGAGAGAGAATTGTTTGAGATGGTTTGGTCATATTCAACGGAGACCAACAGAGGCAGTAGTGAAGAGATGCGATGCTGTAACGGTAGATGGAAATGTTAGGGGATAGGGTAGGCCTAGATTAACGTTGACTAGCGTTATAAATAGAGATATGAATCTACTTAATTTGACTAATGAAATGGCCTTTGATAGGGCCGCATGGAGAAGAAGGATTCATGTAGCCGACCCCATTTGATGGGACTTAAGGCTTGGTTTGGTTTGGTTATGTGTGGCCTCAAGTCCAAAAAAGGCTACATACACTACCTAAAGCCCAGATCCACTGCCTTCAAACTAATAGTCGACCTCCCAAACTCCAACAAGGGTGCTGGAGATGATTACTTCATCGTCTCGGGCAATTAGGAGTTCTCACCTGATAACGACCTTCATCTTTATCCTCTAAGCCGAACGGTGTTTAAAGAGGGTGATGGTAAGAACTGAGTCATTCTTCTAATCACATTTCTGTTAGGACTTGTCAACTTGATATATCTTCGTCTGAATACTTTTGCCTTCTTACTCTTTTTTGCAGCTCTTTTCCAACCGGCAAAGGGATTTCGACAATCATTCGTTCCTAGTCGAGATCTAAAGAGGCTGTTAGACCTCCCTGTGCAGAAGCACAAGATGCCAATTCTACTAAACTACATTCCAACTTACAAATCGGCCCTGCCCGATGTCCCTCGAAAGAGCAAATCTCTACCTTCTGCAACATCTCTCCCTACTACTTCATTCTGATCTAGTG